CTGTCCCTCAGCTCTTCAGCTCAAGGCTAGCGCTCTACCACTTGAGCCACAGTGCCATTTCCTGCTTTTTTTCTTTTTGCTTATGTGGTGCTGAGGAATCGAACCCAGGGCCTCAGGCATGCAAGCAAGTGCTCTACCACTGAGCCACCTTCCCAGCCTGAGTTGCCTTATTTTTAAATGAAACATAAAAATACATGAAGATAAAGCCCAGATACCCATTAGGATTGTAGCTGTTGGCTTGCTATATAAATGCCACATATTTTTCCTATGATGAGATTTTTGTTGTTGGTCATGGGGCTTGAACACAGGGCTTGGGCACTGTCTCTGAGCGCTTTTGCTCAAGACTAGTGTTGTACCACTTTGAAGATACAGCTTGACTTCCAAGATTTTTTGTTGTTGTTGGTCATAGGGCTTGAACTCTGGGCCTGGCCACTGTCCCTGAGCTCTTCAGCTCAAGGTGGGCGCTCTACCACTGGAGCCACAGCACCACTTCCGGTTTTCTGGTGGTGAATTGGAGATAAGAATTTGGCTTTCAAGATTTTTTTTAAAAAGAATAATTAAGTACTGCCAGGTACCAGTGGCTCATGCCTGTAATCTTAGCTACTCAGGAGGCTAAGATCTGAGGATTATGATTCATGTAAAACGCTAGCCTTGAGCTGAAGAGCTGAGGGACAGTGCCCACACCCAGAGTTCAAGCCCCACAACTGACAAAGTCCTTTTAAACATTTTTTTTTATTTGGCTCAGAAGCTAAAAAATGACTGTCTTCGATAGAAATTTGTTAGATACAGAGTTAAGAGTATTAAATTTGAATTTTCAGAGGCCAAACTTAAGTTACTTTGGTGCTAGTCCTGAAGCTTGAACTCAGGGCCTGGGCATTGTCCCTACGGCTAGCACTCTTAGTACTTGAGCTACAGCTCCACTGCCAGCTTTTTAGTGTTTAATTAGAGATAAGAGTCCCATAGACTTCCCTGCCTGGGCTGGTTTCAAACCTCAGATCCTTGAGTAGATAGGATTACAACCATGAGCCACTGGTGCCTGGCTTAAGCTACTTTTTTTTGGGGGGGGGGTCTGGTCGTGGGGCCTGAACTCTGGGTCTGGGTGCTGTCCCTCAGCTCTTCAGCTCAAGGCTAGCACTCTACCACTTGAGCCACAGTGCCACTTGCGGCTTTTTTTTTCTGCTTATGTGGTGCTAAGGAATCGAACCCAGGGCCTCATGCATGCAAGGCAAGTGCTCTACCACTGAGCCACCTTCCCAGCCCACTTAAGCTACTTTTAAAGGTTATATTTAGTTGTTTTTTTTTTTTTTGAGACAGTGGCTATGTAGCTTAGGCTGGCTTCAAACTCATGATCCTCTGCCTGCACCTCCTGAGTGCTGGGATTACAGGCATAAACCACCATGCCTGCCTGACTGTTTTGTTCAGATGAGGAGAATTAAAAGCAACCAAAACCTCACATTTTTCCACTTTATTCAAGATATGCTTAAATTCCTTAATCCATGAATAATTAAGTACCTGTAAATGACACCAATTCAAGACTAAACAGGAACCTTGTGGCAGGCCATCTGAACTAACACATTCCTCTAATATGTAGGATATGAGAATCTCAAGTGTGTTCACTGAGGAGTGCCACTGTTGAAGGAATGAACTTCAGGCTCAGTCACAATCTAAAGCTTTTGCATCCACACTCTACTCCCCTCTGACAGTTATACAGCACTATTCTATGAAAGTATTTTTCAGCCATAATGCTTCCTCAGAGGTGAATGGTTATCTGTAGCCACAGTTTGGTACATCCCACGTCACAAAATCCACCCTAGGAAGATGGTGTCATTTTTAAGAGGTCCAGTGTGTGTGTGTGTGTGCGCGCGCGCGCGTGCATGCATGTGCGCATGTGTGCCAGAGTGCCAGAGCCCTAGGTGCCGAGGATACTGTAGACTTGATTCTCTTGGCTTTTTATCTCTAGGTATTTTCTGCAAAGAAAATTTGAATTTGTGCTCCCCAATTTCTGAGATTGCCACTGACCTGCTCTCTACCTCCTGTGCTCCCCCATCCCACCCTCCCCATCCCCGCTTCCCCTTCTGAGCTTTAATCTGAAGCCATGAGGTTTTTTCAGCTCAAGGCTAGTGCTCTACCACTGGAGCCACAGCTCCACTTCTGGCTTGTTTTGGTAGTTAATAAGAGACTCACAGACTTTCTTGCTCAGACCAGCTTTCTTCCTCAGATGTTCAGCCTCCTGAGTAGCTAGGATTGTAGGTGTAAGCCACCAGCACCCGGCAGCCACTCTTTTTTTCTTTTTTATCCTGGTCCGGGGCTTGAACTCTGGGCCTGGGCACTGTCCGTAAGCCACAGGCCACTTTCGGCTTTTTCTGAGTAGTTTATTGGAGATAGGAGACTCCCAGACTTTTCTTTGAACCATGATCTGAGGATCTCAACCTCCTGAGTAGCTAGGTGAGCCACCAGTGCCCAGCTCACTTTTTTCATTTTTCTTTTTTAAATGATAGCTGGGGGGATAGGTTAATGTAATGTAACCAAGCTAGCCCTTTAATTAATGATCCTTCTCAGCATCCTTAGTGCTGGGATTGCAGGCCTGTCTAACCATACCCAGCACCCTTCTGCTACTTTCTAACTTTTGGTTTAAGTGTGATACCTTTGTTCCAGAGAGTTAAGATTGGACAAAGGATTCAAATGATCTAGTAGAAAAAAAATTATAAAAGCTGGGCTGGGAAGGTGGCTCAGTGGTAGAGTGCTTGCCTCGCATGCATGAGGCCCTGAGTTTGATTCCTCAGCACTACAATCACAGAAAAAACCGGAAGTGGTGTTATGGCTCAAGTGGTAGAGCACTAGCCTTGAGCTGAAGAGCTGAGGGACAGCACCCAGGCCTAGAGTTTAAGCTCCATGATCAACAAAACAGCAACAACAACAATTTACAAAAGCTAAGAAATTAGTTTACAAAGCCCAAATTTCTTACCCTAAAATGACAATAAAGCTAATTTGATTAATAGAAATTTGCTGTTTTGAGTGTAGAGTAGGCACTAAAAGTTCATGTGATCATCAGCCAGTGGCACCATTGCACGGCGGTGGAACCTTTAAGAAGTAGGGCCCATGTAGAAGAAGTTGTTACTGAGAGTCATGTTTTTAAGGTCCTTTTCTGCCTCTCCTTTTGTTTCCTGAATACCTCCACATGCTGGTTGAAGTCACAGATTGGGTTCACAGGCCAAAATGAGAGGGCCAAGCCATCTTGGATCGAGACAATGAGCTAAAATAAACCTTTATTTTTATTAAATTGACCATCTCAGGCATTTTGCTGTTAAGTTTACTATTGGAGTTGACTAAAAATGAAAAAGAACAAAACAAACTTATTTTGATGAGTCTTTACTAGAAAAAAAGGGAATTTGCCTTGTAATTAGGATTTATGTTTACAGGTATTTTTCTCATGATTTTAGTATTGATGATCAGTCAAGTTAACTTTGAAATGAAACAGACATTTTTGTGTATAGAATTCTGTTTAATAAAGTAAATTTCAAGTATGACAAATGTTGTTTGGGTCAGTTTGGTTGGAATTGATCTATATAGTTTATAAATACACAGCATTAACATCTTTGTTCTAAAATAATACATCACATTCAAACCCATGCATGCGCTGACAATCACTTGCCACTGGGCATCTCCTGCCTGGCACAGGGGCTTCAAAATCTGGAGGAGAACATGTTTTCTGGTTCAGTGAGGACAAATGCAGACAGATGTCCAGTGATGGCTTCCTGTTTCTTTTGCTTTTTGATGTTTTTGTTCTCTTAATGAACTTTGTGAATGTTTCTTATACTCACAAATTTCAAAGGGAGTCCCAGATTATACATTTTCTTGAAATGGTCATGCAGAACAAATTAGGCTTTCCCTAAGTTGCTCAGTGATGAAATTACCTTTCTGAAAAAGCATGTCATTTTGAATGAAGACCTGCTCCAAGGGAGAGAGAGATGAAGTCATGATGATAAAACATGGGAGACTTAAACACAGTTTTGTAGGCTAGTCATCCCTGTAACAAAACTGACAAAATGTAGACTTCAAAGTTTCACTACCAGAAAGAAATATCTGGCAAAGTTGGAAGAGATTTCACCAATTGAAAGAGCTTCTCTTATGAGAGGTGAAACCTTTGAATTGCAGCTTGCAAATAAAACCGTATGCACATTATTGGTGAAAATGTAGGGCCATGCTGATCTCATGAAGATGAGCTTTAGGGACTGCCCAGTTTCATCTGGTTCAGAGACTATAAAGACACTCATTATTCATTAATGTGAATAAGCATATGAGATCTAAAAGAGGTTGGACAACAAATGCACCCACAGCCCAGTTATTCTGCTCTTCCCTGGGGACATCTGAATAACAGCATTGGTTGCTATAGTAACATATTCCTGAAGCACCTAGTATAATGCTATAGATACAATAGGTGCTCAATACACAAAAAAGTGTCTTGTCAGTGCCACTTTGGAAACCTAGACAAGAGATAATAAAAATACAGGAGGGTATAGGGTTATTTTTTTAAAACCATTTTTTTTCCTCATCCTACAGGTAATTTCTCTGGTACATACCAGGAAGAATATGAGACTTCAGAATTACAGGCATCTATGAGAAAACAGACCAGTATATTAAATTGAATAAAATGTACGCCGCTGGAAAAATGATCCTGGAGTATTTATCAATGGCATGGGTGTTGATCCTCATGCTCACGTAGCTGTTTCTTGAGCTTTTCCTCTGTGGGGAGCTTCTCTCTGAGGCCAGGGTCAGCTGCACCATCATCCGGTCAGGCTTCTCTCCATTCTCAGGCATGTAGCTTCCCAGGTCATTCACCTCGCCATCGCTGTAGCTGCCGTCCAGCATCACTGCACGGGCCTGTGGTAGCCCACAGGTGCAGGGGAGCTGCAAACACAGCAAGCATACACCCCATGTGAGCTCAGTGCTATCTATCATTCGGAAGCCTGCAGAAGCATGGTCTCTCTCTCGTGTGTGTGTGTGTGTGTGTGTGTGTGTGTGTGCTTTGGACTGCCTTTTTGTGGTTTAGTAACCAAGGAAAAATGATCACAGTGTCATTACGGACAGTTATTCTGCCAGACAGCTGGCCTAGCAACCACCCATAAGGTCCATGGTTTGTTCTCTAGCAACACACACACACACACTCTAAAATAGTAGATCCAATTTTTATTCGACTAAAGACTCTATTGACTCACAAGAAACAAATTGTACAATGGCATAAGATCACAAATACCTAAAGGAGGAGGGCACTACTAAAGATTGAACTTAGGATCTGATACTTGCTTAGGCCAGTGAAGGATTGTTTGTGTTTTCCTTCCTTGTTTTTCTCCCCCTTTTTCTTTCCTTTCTGTCTTTCCTTTTTGTTGTTGTTGTTGTTGTTGGTCATAGGGCTTTGAACTCTGGGCCTGGGCACTGTCCCTCAGCAGTTCAGCTCAAGGCCAGCACTCTACCACTTGAGCCACAGCACCTCTTCCATTTTTCTGGTGGTTTATTGGAGATAGGAGTCTCAAGGACTTTCTTGCCCAGGCTGGCTTTGAACCATAATCCTCAGATCTTAGCCTCCAGAGTTGCTAGGATTACAGGTGTGAGCCACCGGCACCCGGCTTTTCTTTTTTTTTCTCATGAAGTACTGGGGATTGAACCCAAGGCCTTCTGCATGCTAAATACATACTCTACCACTCACCCTAGTTACCCCTGCCATCTTTTTCTTGAGACAAGGTTTTGCAGTGTAGCTCAAGCTAGACTCCCTTGCCATCTGAGGCTTTGCATCCCAAGTGCTGTCTTTACTGTGTATACCACCATATCTGGCACCAAGCCCTTGGCAAAAATATGTACAGATCACATTATTGTGAGTGGGAGTTTGAAAGGTGGCTGTTTGAAGAATAGATTACTACTATGTGGTTAGATTTTATTTTTATTCATTTTTTGTCAGTTGTGGGGCTTGAACTCAGGGCCTGGGCATTGTCCCGAAGCTCTTTTGCTCAGGACTAGTGCTCTACCACTTTGAGCCACAGCACCACTTCCTAGATTTTATGTTTTTAATGAAAAAGTACCTCTAACTAGCTTTACCAAAGCCAAACCTACCAACAAAAATAAATTCTGTAATCTGGTATCTCACGTGATACTGTACCAATATCTAACCAATATTTACAATCTAGAGGAGATTACCATCTCCAATGAGTTGCAGACTGGAGGGAGAAAGAAAAGGTAAAGATAATCTCAGGGCTGGGAAGGTGGCTCAGTGGTAGAGTGCTTGCCTTGCATGCATGAGGCCCTGGGTTCGATTCCTCAGTACCACATAAGCAAAAAGAAAAAAAGCCGGAAGTGGCTCAAGTGGGAGAGCACTAGCCTTGAGCTGAAGAGCTGAGGGACAGTGCCCAGGCCCAGAGTTCAGGCCCCATGACCGGACCAAAAAAAAAAAAAAAAAAGATAATCTCAGAAGCCGGGCACCGATGACTCATTCCTGTAATCCTAGCTACTCAGAAGGCTGAGATCTGAGGATCATGGTTCAAATCCAGCCTGAGCAGGAGAGTCCATGAGACTCTTATCTCCAATTAACCACCAGAAAACTGGAAGTGGCACTGTGGCTCAAGTGGTAGAACACTCACCTTGAACTGAAGAGCTCAGGGACCAGGCCTAGGCCGAGTTCAAGCCCCAAGAAAAAAGATAACCTGAGAAATGCTGAAAGATGAGAGCACATATGAAGGAAAACTCCCTGGGATAAGGCGAATTTGTTCCTGGTGGATTCTTTCATTGCATCTCTATATTTGTCAGTAACTTGTTCTACAATGTTAAATTGTCTCTTCCCCTTTCCCCTTCTTGATATTTTTTTTTCACTAAATTCTCACACTACCAAAAGGAACTATATCTTATTTAAATTTAGTTCAGAGTAGGTGAAATATATATAGTAAATTTCAGACGTTACATCATACATCATTCTGTTTGCTCTTCACAAGAAGTAGGTAAAGGAGGTGGTATGATGGCCCTATTTTACAGAAAGGATCAGACCTGCCCACAGTCCTGGCACCTGATGCTGTATGTTACCTTCTCCCGCAGCTTCCGTTCCTTCCGCTCCTGCACGGTGGTCAAGTAGTTGACAGCTGCATATTCTAGCACTGAGAGGAACACAAACACAAAGCTGACCCACAGGTAGATGTCCACGGCCTTGATGTAGGACACACGGGGCATGGAGGCATTCACTCCTGTGATGATGGTGGACATGGTCAGCACCGTTGTGATGCCTACAACAAACATTGAGAGCAATGAAAGCATGTGCTTGGGTTTGACTACATATAAGATGGATGGTGTTGTGTCTGGATGGTGTTGTATCTGGCTGTCTGGTATTAGAAGATCTCCTCCCTCCCCTCTGTCTAGCAAACACCTACTCAACTTTCAAGTTTTAGCAGGTTTTTTTGTTTATTTTTAGTTCAAGAAGTACTGGGGCTTGAATTCAGGGCCTGAGCACTGTCCCTTAGCTTTTTCGCTAAAGGCTGCTGCTCTACCATTTGACCATACCTCTATTCTGGCTTTTTGGGAATATCTCTTGGATTTCTTTGTCCTGTCTGGCTTTAAACTGTGATCCTGAGTTCATCCTCCTTAGTAGTTAGGATTATAAGCATGAATATATATATATATATATATATATACATCAGTGCTTGGTGAAAAGATTTAGCTTTTACAAAGCTTTTTTTAGGGTCCTCTCTCATCATGTATACATTTTCTTCTCGGTAGACTCATCCTATCATTGGATTGCTTTATCCCTCTCAGGGAATCTCACACATTGCAGAAACATCATTTCTTTTTTTTTCTTTTTTTAATGTGAAAATACTGTACAGAGGAGTTACAATTACATGGGTAAGCATCATCATTTCTTTCAATTCTTTTTTTTTTTTTTGGTGCCTGTTCTGGGCCTTGAACCCAGGGCCTGGGCACTGTCACTGAGCCTTTTAGCTCAAGGCTAGCACTTTACTACTTGAGCCACAACTCCACTTCTGATGTTTTGCTGGTTAACTAGAGCTAATAGTCTCAAGGACTTTCTTGCTTGGGCTGGCTTTGAACCTTGATCCTCAGATCTTAGCTTCCTGAATTAATTAGGGTTACAAACATGAACCATGGGTGCTTGGCTTTGATTCAGTTAGTCTTGTGACTGCTGCTGTAAAGTCTTGTAGTTCTGACTTACTTTTACTACCTGGCAGGCATCCCTAGCAGCCACTCCACAATTTTACCAAGGATGATAGTGTTAACATCATTTGTGGTAGAGAGATTTTCAAACCAGAATGCATACTTAATTGGCACACTAGCTGTTCAAGCTGCAGAATACCTATTAGAAGACAGGGCATCTGTCTGTGGAAATTTGCCCAGAATTTCAAATTAAGCTCAGAACATTTGCTTGGCCAACATCAAATCACAGGGGATTGGGGTCACCTTCAGGGGTAGATCCAATCCATTTCCACTAAAACCTGATGGGTCACATACTCTCTTGCAGGCCCTGACTTGTCTGAGCAATGGTACTTTGTACAAATAAATAAGATATAGTTAATGGCAAGCAGCCATTCTTGGTTCTTACCAAAAAATTAATGGGATTGTTTGTTAAAATGTAGTTTCTTATAGGAGCTGAAAATGTGGCTTAGTGATAGAGTGCTTGCTAGCATGCATGAAGTCCTGGGTACCTCATGAAGGCTTCAGTACCACATGCACAGAAAAAGCTAAAAATGGGGCAGTGGCTGAAGTGGTAGAACACTAGCCTTGAGTAAAAAAGAAGCCCAGGCCCTGAGTTCAAGTTCCAGGGATTTCCAGAAAAAAAAAAGTAGTTTCTTGGAAGTGCTTGTCACTGTCAGGGACAGTGCCCAGGTCCCAAGTTCAAGCCCCATGATCAAAATAAAATACCCCCCCCACATTCTTGGCCCTTGGCCATTGCAGTTCTTCTACAGATATGATGAGGCCCGAGACATCTTTAAAAAAATTTCCCTCAGGGAAATCTCTTGGGCTACCTTTTGAGAAGAAGCCTTGTTATATAATATGATGCATTCTACAAATGGGCAGAGAAAGCACCCAAAGAGCAGGTTCTGCACCCCAGGATGTGGTTCCAACAAAACTAAAGGTTGGGTGTCTAGATGGATATTGATGGGAAACTGTTCTCTTATATAGAGTCTTCATTATGGGATTTTCCCTGGGAATCAATATCCTGGAGTATTTTCAAATTAGAATACCAAAAAGACCAATTGTAAAAGAATGATTCTCTTTCTTTCCTTCTTTCTTTCCTTCCTTCTTTCTTTCTGTTGTCAGGCTTGAACTCTGGGCCTGGATGCTGTCCCTCAGCTCTGCAGCTCAAGGCTAGCGCTCTACCACAGTGCCACGGGATTTTCTGGTGGTTTATTAGAGATAAGACTCATACAGACTTTCCTGCCCAGGCTGGCTTTGAACCGAAATCCTCAGATCTCAGCTTCCTGAGTAGCTAGGATTACCGGCATGATCCACAGACACCCAGCTAAAAGAATGATTTCTATGTGGAAGAAATCACTTATGTTTTCCAATGCTTGGACTGTGCACTTGAACTTGAAATGTCCCTTACCTAAGGGGACTCTGGCTGGCACAGCTCTGCGGTCGATCCAGAAGGACACCCAGGAAAGCATGACCATCAGGGTGGCAGGAAAATAGGTTTGGAGCAAGAAGAAGAAGATGTGGCGGCGCAATGTGAAATTGATGTACAGACGGTTGTACCAACCTGGGGAATAGAGAAAGAAAAGACAGTGTTCTTCTCTTCTTTCATAAAACAGGCTTTATTCGGGGACTCAAAAATACCTTAGAGAGTCCACTGGAGCTATACTATGACGTTAGCAGAGTAGAAGTGGAAAATAAGGGACAGAAGGGTATAGTAACTCACACCACCTGAGGGAAGGGTCCATCTTAAAAAACGTTTGGCCATCCTCCTAAACACAAAGTGAACCCCTAAAAAAGATTATTTAAACTTTTTGGAAGAAAAAAAACCCTCTGTTTCTACCTCCTGGAGTTCATTTCAAATAAATATTACATTATGTGATAAGATATACATAGGCATTGAGCCTTTGTGTTCCTCTTTTGGTCTCACTGTGTGTAACCCTAGAGTCCTATGTAATTTATCCTGTCCCAGTGTATTTTAGATCTAGTTTCCACATATAAAAGAAAACATGTGCTGTTTACGTCTCTGAGTTTGGATTAACTTGTACTAGGCCCACCCATTTCACTACAAATGACATCATACTATTCTTTCTAATGGTTATGTAAAATTCCACTGTGATAGGTACCACTTTTTTCTTTGATCCACTCATCTATTGTAGGGCATCAGGGCTGTATCCAGAATATTGAACTCTTGTTAGTCAAATTACAGTCTAGAGCTCAGCAGCCTCACTGTTACCTGGGAGCTTGTTAGAAATCTAGACTCTTGAGGCAAAAAGCAAGAGCAACAAAACAACAGTAACAACAACAGTAAACCATCCCACCACTTCCACTAATGCTTGTATCCCACTCGATTTCACTGGGGACTCCATCTTTGGTTTAAAATGCAGGTGATTGAGGCTCTGCTCATTAACAACCACGTCATATCTTTCCTAATAGGGGATGGACCACCACAGCTATGGTGCAAGCTATGTAACACAGCCACACCCCAGCCTCACCTGTGCTGCTATAGAATGCTAGTTTGGTGGTGGTGTGAAATTCTTGAATGAGGAACTGAGAGAGTGAGATCCGCTCATCTGTCTTTAAGGAGTCATTGCCTTTTTTCCAGTAGAGCATGAGGTCGTCTTCTGTGTAGGCATCTGGAAGAATGAGAGCCAGCATCAGACCCAAGATGAGGAAGACAGACCTGTCTGGGGGCAATGTGGGACCTATGTTTTCTGATCTCCCACTCAAACTACTGGGATTGTGTTAACATAGTGTAAGTAAATAAATCGCCATTGAAACAAAGCAAAACCAATCGCAGAAAGACAAATCTAGTTCTCCCCAGTCGTCCAAAAGCCATCTGAGCAAACGCCCAAGTGAAAAGGCTTATCCACAATCCAGCTTGTCTTTGCTAAGTTAAACCAAATGGTTTTTCTTCTTTATCTCATGAGTACCATCAAACCCAGGCCTTGTGTATGCTAGGCAAGCTCTAGATACAATCCTAGCCTTGATATGGCTATTTTGTTGGTCAGAAATGGTGAAATACTAGAAAATGTCACATGATTCTATCTTATAAACCTTTCTGCACATTTTCTTTCTTTTTTCTTCCTTTTTTTTTTCTTGGAGAGGGAGGGCAGTACTGGAATTCAAACTCAAGGCTTCATGCTTCCATGTGAGCCTTAGTTCCAGCCTTGCTTTTTGCTGCTACCATTTTGGAGATGGAGTCTAGTGAATCTGTCTGCATGGATTGGCCTCAAGTTGTGACCCTCCAGATCAAAACCTCCTGGATAGCTATGATGATAGATGCAAACTACAGGCCGCTATCACATTTTCCTCATTTTTTCTTCTTTCTAAGTATAATGATTCTCTGATTGATAGCAAATACCTTTACCCACTATCAGATGATATGGACTACATTGTAGTAAAAAGAATCCATGAAGAAACGTGAGCAGAAAAGACCTTTTTTCAGGTCTCCAATTGTGCCTACCCAGAATAAAGTCAAACTGATTCCATGATTAGCACTGTTTGGTATCATAACTGCCCCCACCCCATTTTACTATTTCACAGCCCAGTTACACAAACTCTCCAATTGCCTGGCTGTAACTGAGGTGAAACCTATTGGGGTTGCCAGTCCTTGTCTCCCCCCTGTAAACCATCTTTTGTGTGACTCCCTAGCCCTTCACCTGTGTGAGGGATAGTACACTCCTCAGACCAGCTTGGCTATGGTACCCTGCTGTTATGACTTCACAGAAGTCTGTGAATGTATTTTGTGGTATTCATGATTAGTATTCACAACTGGATTTAAGTAAAAGGCCTTGAGAGCAGAATGGAGATTTCCTGGCAGAACTTTCACGTGTGGATTGTTCCCAATCTGCCCTGCTGATTGTGCTGCAGACAACCCCCTATGGCACAAGCCAGTGTTTTGTAGTGTATCTCTTGTTATGTATAGTTTACTGTTTCTATCTCTGTGTAGAACCCTGGCTGCCTCAACCTGAAGAAGCTCTGTTACAGATGGGGGCAGAAGTTCCCTTGTTGTGGGGAAAAACAAGACTCTATTGCCAATAAACTTGGTATTTCATCATGGCTCAACCACTCAGCTCTGTGTCTGAGACAAGGGCTGACATTCTTTTGAATGGGGATTATAATCTTCTCAAGGGGATCTTATGAAGGGAAGATAACAACACAGAAGCAAAGCCTCAAACAGTAACTCGTCCTGGGTCATTGGTCCTGGGTGTTCCACACCCTTGCCCTACATCCAGTGGCCTACATAGCTGTCCATTTGGCCCCTGCTATGTGTGGTATTGGTTGGTATCCAAACACTGACTGGTCCCAGATGTCTGGAGCTAAGGGCCATCCACTGCTATGCTGGCTTACAATGACCGTGAATGTTAATCCTCTGATACCACAAGTACTGCCAAGGCCAGGGATCGTGGGGCAAACTGGAGCCAAGGAGAGTCCAGACTATGCCTGTCGGAAGCAGTGTTCAGGCAGACAGAGGAGAAGGGAGCAGATACTGGGGAATGAAGGATGGAGCAGCTAGCTTGGGTACTTGCCTCTGCCTGGCTCTTTCTAAGGTCTAGTTTGGATATGTGCTGTTGTTTTATTGTCGTAAAATACACACACCTTCAAAATTGCTGTCCTACTTATTTTTCAGCATTCAGCGGTATCAAATCTATGTTGTGCGACTGTCACCATCAGAATTCTTTTCACTGTCCCAGTCTTTCCTTACTCCCTATACCTACAACTACTATCCTACTTACTGTGTGATGTCTAAGTAGAATCATATGGTATTTGTGTGTTTGTGTTTGCCTTATTTTACCCATCACAATGTCCTCAAGGTTTAACCAGATGGTAGCTTGTCACAGAATTCTCTTGCTTTTAAAAGAAAATAATATTCCATTGTGTATAGTATATTTTACTTGTCTATTCATCGATCAGTGAACACTACTGCAATTTTAGCTGCTGTGAATCGTGTTACTATGAATATAGTTGTATAAATACCTTGTTAATACTCTCAATACGTGTAGGTATAGGTCCCAAGTTATCACATGGTAATTTTATTTTGAATATTTTGAATATAATAACAGTGACATCACATTCCTTTCAATCCACAGTGCACAAAGTTTCAGTTGTCCATGTTTTCACCAGCACTGGCTCCTGGCTGTCTGATAGTAGCCATGGGAACTCACTGTAGTTTTAATTTGCATTTTTCTAAGGATTAATGGTGTGTGTGTGTGTGTGTGTGTGTGTGTGTGTGCATGTGTGTGTGTGCATGCATGCATGTGTATGTGGTCAGGGATTGAACCCAGGGTCTCAGCATGCTAGCAAGTGTTCTACCACTTGAGCCATGCTCACAGACCAGGGTTAGTGATGTTGAGCATGTTCTCATATGAACCTTAGCCAGTTGCACATCTTCTTCTGATTCAAGTCCTTTGCCACTTCTTTAGTAGGTTGTTTTGATGCTGTTTAAGAGTTCTCTTTATGTGGAGCTGGGAAGGTGGCTCAGTGATAGAGCGCTTGCCTTGAATGCATGAGGCCCTGGGTTCGATTCCTCAGCACCACATAAGCAAAAAGAAAAAAAAAGCCAGAAGTGGCACTGTGGTTCAAGTGGTAGAGAGCTAGCCTTGAGATGAAGAGCTGAGGAACAGTGCCCAGGCCCAGAGTTCAGGCCCCATCACCGGACTACCCCCCCCCCAAAAAAAAGAGTTCTCTTTATGTTCTGTTAGTATATATGGTTTGTAAACATCTTCTCCCATATTGTTGGTGCTATCCTTTGGTGTACTCAATTTTTATATTTTCATGAAGTCTAATTTGCCTGTTTTTTCCTTTGTTGGTTGAGCCTGCGTTCTAATTGAGCCAGGTTTTTAACTTTCCAGTTGGTGGTACATAAGAATCTCAACAATCACATAAACTAGAAGTGGCAGTTCCACAGGATAAATGTTGCCAAATTTCATGTTGCCAAGAATTTTTTTTCAGTAGAAATGGTACTTAGTAGAGAAAACTAAAAGCTCTCTGGATGATTTGTCTACGTGGGAATATGGACACGGGTACACATTAGGCCAAAGGCTTTCTACTTCCCCTCCCCAAGCAGCTTTGGCTTAGGAATCTCTGTGAAAATTCTTGGATATACAGAACAGAGTTTCCAACCATTACTATAAGGATTAAAAAGATCCCTTATAGGAACAGATTTTAGTCTAAATTTATTCCTGAATTTTAAAATTACCCTTATTTGGTTTCCATCTCCACAATCACTTTTAAAAGCACAGCCACAAATGAACAAATTCTACTGCTCCTGCTACTGAGAGAAGGAGGTGTTTGGAATTGCATGGTAGGGCACCAGTCTACTCACAGCTTTCGATCTCCAGTGAGCACGTTTGTGTGTCCAGGGGAAAGCGGCTGAAGTCCATGTTGCACATTGCAGTCACAGTTACCCTAGAAATAGAAACCCAAATCCAAGTCTCAGAGCCTGTTACAGGCAAGTATAGGAAGATAAGGCAAGCAAAAAAGATTTCTGCTTCCTTCCTACACAATTGCTTCCTTCCTGTAATTCCAGAATTTAGGTAAGAAGCCTGTGAGTAAAACTCTCTTTGAACTACTCTCAGATATTTCTGATTAACCTCAGGATCTATGTGAGGCAGATAGAATATCTCTGCCAACTTCAGCACATTGAAGTATTTTAAAGAAGCAATGCTGTCCATCAATGTAACCATGTGAAATAAAAGCCCTAATCTATAATATGGTCTCTCAAAAGAAGCTCTTGGCTGGGTATTGGTGGTTCACACCTGTAATCCTAGCTATTCAGGAGGCTGAGAACTGGAGGATAACAGTTCAAAGTCAGCCTTGGTAGAAAAGTCCTCATGACTCCATCTTTAATTAACTACCAAAAGCCAGGTTGCAAGTGTGGTTCAATTGATAGAGCACTAGCTGAACAAGCAAGGCAAGCAAGCAAGCTAGATAAATATGCCAGGCCCTGAATTCAAATCCCAGTATCAGAAGAAAGAAAAGAGAGAGAAGAGAAAAAAAAGGAGCAAGATTTAAGACAATACATTGTTCTCTTGTTTTAGATAAAGTCAACTTCTTCCAGTCTTTACTGCTTTTATTGACATTCAATATTGTGCACTGCATTGTGCTGTACTAGTTTCTAAATTCGGCATTGTCCCCCTGAAATATATCATTATTATTGTTGTTATTGTTATTATTATTTTGTGACAGACCTGGGGCTTGAACTCTGGGCCTGGGCACTCTCCTTGAGATTCTTTTTCCCAGCATTCTACCACTTGAGCCACAGTTCCACTTCAGGTTTTTTCTGAGTAGTTGATTGGAAATGATTTGATGAATGTTGGTTGAAGTTAGTAAGATGAACATGAGATAATAATTTTTGGGGGGCGGGAGTCTGGTTGTGGGGCCTGAACTCTGGGCCTGGGCGCTGTCCCTCAGCTCCTCAGCTCAAGGCTAGTGCTCTATGACTTGAGCCACAGCACCACTTCTGGCTTTTTCTGCTTATGTGGTGCTGAGGAATTGAACCCAGGGCCTCATGCATGCAAGGCAAGTGCTCTACCACTGAGCCACCTTCCCAGCCCTGAGATAATAATTTATGTAGAAATTTTACTCATTAAAGATATAAGAAATGTCTATGCTGAGTGGAAAGTGACACTTCCCCAAAATAACTGGAGCATAAAGGACTAGAGGCACGGTTCAAGTAGCAAAACACTTGCCTGGCATGTGTAAAACCATTCAAATTCAACCAAATTAAAAAAATAAAATAAAATAAAGTAAAACGTGGGCTGGGACATAGATCAATTGATTTGAGCACTTGCCTAACGTGCTCCAGTTTCTAACTTCAATCCCTAGTAATACCAAAATAATAAATAATAATACATATAGGATAGGAGGTAGACTATAAGTATCAGCTTAAGAAATTTCTCCAGCTGTACTTTCAAGACTGAAAGCCAGGCTCTGGTGGCTCATGCCTGTAATCCTAGCTACTCAGGAGGCTGAGATCTGAGGATTCCAGTTCAAAGCCAGCCAGAGCAGGAAACTCCGTGAGACTATCTCCAATTCACCACCAGGAAACAGGAAGTGGTGCTGTGGCTCAAGTGGTAGTGTGCCAGTCTTGAGCTGAAGAGCCCAGGACAAGCGCCCAGGCCCAGAGTTCAAGCCCCACAACTGACCAAAAAAGAAAAAACACAAAAAAAACTTAAAACCCAAAAACAAAAAAACCAAGTCCTCATATGTTAGTTTTCCTTGATGCCACCAAATTTGGTGGGTTAGAAGTTAGATGTTCAGAGCCCAAAAGCACAGTGGCTGTTGCAAGCAGCGCTTAGCTGCACAGTGTTACATGCCGTCTTGTAGGACGCATCCAGCATACTTGGTTAAGTAGCCGGATCGCCCTTCCACGCACCTGAGGCTGTACAGAACTTTCCCATCGGGCTGGACCCGCAGCATGACGTTGTCTGTGGTGGTGTCGTGAATGAAGGAGCGCTTGGAATGCACAAAAAACATGTCAGGGACCCAGATCTTCTTCACCAGCCTCCCATCAAATGTCATGCTGAGGTTGTTGGTGCTCGGAAAAGACAGCCGCTCATCCTTCCAGTAGTGCCTCAGGTAGAGGGTCATCGTGAAGTCCTGGGGGCCAGACAGACAGGAAACCCCAAACACACACTCACAAACCCACAGGGTCAGCAGGAGATTCCTCAGCCTCTCCCTTCCCCCCTCCCCCATGGCGATTACTCCCAGGAGGCCCTTCCTCCCTTCCCCTCCCCTCCCCTCCCCTGCCCTGGGAGCCGCCTGCCACCACCAGCTGTGGCTCAAGTTGACAGTTCCAGGGGTGCATGCCAGAGAGCAGCCCACATCCAGAGGGAAAGGAGGTGGGTGAACGGACCAGCCCCCTTGCCTCTCCATCATGCTCCTCCTGAGCTCGTTCTTGGTTGGTCCCTGGCCAACTCAGTGGGACCATCGGTTCGGGAGTGGCTGGTTGGGGAGCATGGCTCTTTTTGCTTCTTTCCCTTCCCCATCTCATTGCCCACTCTGTTCTAGGTCACATCCAGATTGTGCCCCCCCAAACAAACCACTGGGCTAGAATGCTTGTCTTGGGTCGGCTTCTTGGAGGACCCAAACCTGTAAGTAAGTCCTGTAAGTTAAGTTTTGTGGAATGCTCTGTTTTTGATCTCGGCAGATCAAAGAAAAGGGGTGGGGGGAGAGTGCATTCTTTCTACCCTGTAGTTTCCCTTTGGGAGCTTTTGCGCAGAGAATGGATCCCAGCTATGCGATCCTGGGTACTGGGGGCAGCGGAGGAAGTGGAGAGCAATCAAGTTTGTCATCTGACTCTATTTGTTACCTATCAATGGAGTCTAGATCAGTGACACATTTCCCAGAGCCATCTCTAAATCAAGTGTGGGAATTCTCACCTCCCAGGAGGGTTGTGAGATTTAGCTCTTCTGGAATGTAGACTTCTTACTGAACTGAGGGATGGGCTGTGTGAGTCTCCCTGCCTGCCTACAGCCCTGGTCAGAGAAGCACTCACCATGTCCACCTCTGAGATGCTGTCCAAGCTCTCCACCTGTACATCCACACCAACAGGAATGGCTGGGCCTGGGAACCGGACACAATGTCAGCATGTATTCTTTTTACTTGAGTTTGTATTACACAAGAGGTAGGAAAAAGGGGCATTTCTCCTAGTACCTCAGAGTCATGTCAGATTGGAAGGTTTTGGTCAATGCAAACTTGAACTCTGGAAACCTGAGACAAAAGAGGTGGACTCATGGGCTGGCTGCCTGGAATAGCCCAGCAAGTTATTATTATTATTATTGCTGTTGTTTATAATAATAGTAATGATAATTTAACAAAGTTTTTTGTTAGGAATCATCCAGATTATTCTGAAATGATATGACTATGGAACATTCTTCTTTGATTCCAAATACTATCTAAAGTTATTATATAGGCCTAGGTCAAAGGTTGGGTCTGAATAAGGTGTTACCTCCTTGGTGTGAGGACATCCATTTTATTTCCTGCTTGCAGCCTTTTTGATTTGACCTTCTTTTATCATGGAAGCCAGTAGCTCTCTGTCTGGCCATGGGAAAGGCATTGCTTGGGGATAGCACCCAATACCAAAGGGTCATTTATCAAATCCACACATCTGCATTTTTGCTACAGCTAAGGAAAATGTAATGCATCACAAAGGCCTTAAAAACATTAGATTGGTTGTGATTTCTGGGCCATAAAATACGTTATTAGTTTGGTGTTGATAGCTCACTCCTGTAATCCTTGCTTCTTAGGAGGCTGAGATCTAAGGGTCATGGTTCAAAGTTAGTTCAGGCAGAAAAGTCTATGAGACTCCATTAACCAGCAAAACTCTGGGCTAGAGGCATGACTAAGAAGTAGAGCATCAGTCTTAAGCTAGAGTGCAAGGGCTACAGGTCAAGCTGTGACCCTAGAATAAGCAAGTAAAACAAAACAAAACAAAAAGTATAGGTGGAAGGAGAAATTCTAATAAAGAAGACAGATTCCTGATCGCTCCTCTCTGCTTTCAGGATGCAGGTTAGGCTTGACAGACTCCAACCACCATGAAGTAGAAAGGGAGATTTGGCTCCAACAGCTGCCAATTATGGAATGAACAGAAACTCCTTTTGAGAACCTATTTGCTTGAGGGGCAAAGCTGACAAGGGCAAAAAAAAATTAAAAAAAAACATGAGGATGATTTGTAAAACAAATATTTTTTTCCAGAAAAAATAAAGCCCATAAGGAACTATTTGACACTAAGAGGCTGAAACCCAACAGCCACAGGCTAAGTGTCAGAGGGCTTTACCTTCCATCTGCACTGAGTCATTATTTTCTCAAGCTATTTTCATTTAATTAAACCCCGCAGACCATGTTCTTCCCTCACACATGTACCCACAGTTCATCTGCAAGCTCCCAAATGAGAGCAAATTTAGTGCGAGGCTGCCAGGCTGAATTTCAGAGAATTTTCAGGGGGCAGCTTTGGGCTGTGGCTGCCTGGTCTTCCCACAGCCCAGGAGTGAGCTTCTCAGAAGCGCCTTCAAGGACAACTGGCTGCCCTAGCTTGTCATCACCTACCGGTGCTCGGAAGAGTGTGGTCAGCAGAACCCAGGGCACGGAGGACAACTCTAATCAGTAAGGCCAGAAAGTCCCTGGGCTTGATTTCCTGACCATGGACAGACAGAAGGATCCTTAGAAAGAAGGCTTGAGCCAGTAGCTCACACCTAGAATCTAGCTACTCAGAAGCCTGAGATTTGGAGGATCACAGTTTAAAGCCAGCCCAGGAAGAAAAATTCAAGAGAGTCCATCTCCAACATAACTATTAGAAAGCAGAGCTAGAGATGTGGCTCAAGGTGGAGAGCACCAAGCAAGCAAGCCAGCTGAGCAAGTATGAGGCCTTGAGTTTAAAACTAAGAAAGCAAGCAAGGAAAGGAAGGAAAGAATAGGAAGGAAGGAAGGAAGGAAGGAAGGAAGGAAAGAAGGAAGGAAGGAAAGAAGGAAGGAAGGAAGGAAAGATGGGAGGGAGGGAGGGACAGAAGGCAGAAAAGAAAAGAAAAAGGAAGGAAAGAAAGAAAGGAAGAAAGAAAGAAAGAAAGGAAGGAAGGAAGGAAGAAAGGAAGAAAGAAAGAAAGATATCCCCATAGGACTGTGCCTCTCCTACCTCCGAAGCCAGGCCTCATGCTGAAGTCATGGTCGTCAATCCTCAACAGCTGCTCTGACTTGGTCAGAGGTGACTTGGTGATGTCAGGGCTCCGTTTCAGAATTGGACTGTGAGAAGAAAAACAGGTTGACCAAATAGTCCAAGTAAGAGAGATGAAAAAATTTCTATTCTGACTAGCTTTTGATAAGTTTCCCAGAATGTTATTTTCTCCTTTTACGTGTAGGAGAGCCCCTCTTCTTTTTCCATTTTCTGGATAAACAACCCAAATGATACCAGATGACACAGGTGTTTGTAAAATAGTGAAACCCCAACCCTGTCTCAAGTCTCTGATTTTGGGAGTCTGGGAATCAGGCCTGGGAATTGGTTGTTTTTAAAGCTTCTCAGCATTGGAGGAGGAGGTCAGTGGTAGAGCTCTTGTGTGGCTGCTGCAAGTCCCTGGGTTTGATGGAAGCAAGTAGAGGTAGGGCTGGCTTCCTAAATGGTTTTTAATAAGTAACCAAGACTGACAGCTGCTGGTGCTGGTTTTTGTTGTTGTTTTTTTCTTTTTTTTGGTGCCAGTCCTGGGGCTTGAACTCAGGGTGCTATCCCTGAGCATTTTGCTCAAGACTAGTGCTCTACCACTTGCGCCACACTTTCAGCTTGCTTTTTTTTCCTTTCCTTCCTTCCTAACTTACTTCTTTCTTTCTCTCTCTCTTTCTTTTTTTTGGGGGGTCTGGTCGTTGGGCCTGAACTCTGGGCCTGGGCACTGTCCCTTAGCTCTTCAGCTGAAGGCTAGCATGCTACCACTTGAGCCATAGCACCACTTCAGGCTTTTTTTCTTCTGTTTATGTAGTGCCGAGGAATCGAACCCAGGGCCTCATGCATGCAAGGCAAGCGCTCTACCCACTGAGCCACCTTCCCAGTCCTTTCTTTCTTTCTCTCTCTCTCTCTCTTTCTTTCTCTCTTTTTTTTT